CTCCACTTCCCATCTAGTTTCCAGCTAATGTGCCTAGAGAAGGCAGGGGAGAATGGCCCAAGTACTTGGGCCCCTGCCACCCATATTAGAAACCAGGATGGAGTCCCAGGCTCCTGGCTTCCTCATGGCTCATCTCCAGAGGTTGTGGCAATTCTGGGAGTGAACCAGCATATGGAAGATCTCTCTTTAACTCTCTCTGCAACTCTGCCTTTCAAATAAAAATCTTTTTAAAAAGTAAGAGATTTCAACATACCTTTATTTCAAAAAAAAAAAAACTGAAAATGTTTATATATAATGAAAATATGCATAATAGTGCTCTTTAAAATTCCAGTAGTATCATGCCTGCAGAATGCATACTCCTATGTTAGTGAAACCTGGATATGCCTTGCTTTCTCATAATAAACCATAAAAAGAGAAAAATAACAACTTAGAAAACAGAATTTAAAGTCCCACAAATGATTTTCTAATATAGTACATTATAGCTTCTTAGGAGACATAGCTTTTTAATTTTGTATTCCTTTCACAAATATTTAAATTTCTGGCCTTCAGACACACTTGAGCAGAAGGAATGGCTAAGGAAGTCAAATTGCCTGCAATGTGAAGGCATAAGCCAGAAAAGACACATGCATTTGACAAAGAGGTAGCTTTCCTCCCCTGAGCCCTTCTTCATATACTTGGCAGAGCATATACAGTACTCCTGCAGTATGGACAATGGGGAAGGAAGCTAAAAACTAACTTTGATGCTCTTTTATTAAGAGCCATATTTAGTCCGATATTTTCTTTATACTCAGCTATGTTAGACATGCATTTTCCTGTAGGTGCTTGCCCTACCATCCACTTACACAAAATAATCAAGAACAAAATCACCTGTAGAAAGCAAGCTGCATTATACTATTTCCATAATAAAACTTCTCTTCTTAAAACTTATAAGGATCAGTGCCAGCCCTGTGGCGTAGCGGGTAAAGCCCCCGCCTGCAGTGCTGGCATCCCACATGGGCACCAGTTCAAGTTCCAGCTGCTCCACTTCTGATTCAGCTCTCTGCTATAGCCTGGGAAAGCAGTAGAAGATGCACCCTCATGGGAGACCCAGAAGAGGCTCCTGGCTCCTAGCTTCAGATCAGCGCAGCTCCAGCTGTTATGGCTAACTGGGGAGTGAACCAGCAGATGGAAGACCCTCCCCCTCCTTCTCTCTCTCTGTAACTCTGCCTTTCAAATAAATAAATAAGTCTTAAAAAAACTTATAAGGATTGGAGCCATACCCCAACCATTTGTATTTTAAAACTACCTTTACCATCCACACTGGATGTAAAAAAAGAATGAATTAGTCTTCAAATATTGGTATTAAAGATACTAAAAGCATTTATTAAACTATATACAGGGACAGGTATTTGGTACAGTGTTTAAGACACTACTTGAGTCACCTGCATCCCATATTGAAAACCGTGAGTCAGGGTCTAGGCCCCACTTCCAATTCTGCTACGTACTACTCAGAAGTAGGTGACACCTGACACCACATGGAAGAGACCCAGACTGAGTTCTGGGCTCCTGACTTCTGCCTGGCACAGTCCCAGCTGTTGCGAACACTGGGGAAGTGAACCAGTGGATGGAATACCTGCCTGTCTCTCTTTCAAATAAAATGAAAATACATAAATAAAATTTGAAAAACAAAATATAAAGGAATAAGCTACACCTTTTTGTATATGTGTGTGTGCAGCAGAAAAAAATACAGGCAAAACAGATGGCTGATTGCCTTTCATTGGAGTTATGAGCAGATGAGAAGAACAGGGGTGACAGCAGTGGGGAGATGAAGACTTCCCCGTGTAACTCATCCTGGTAGGCAAATCAGAGATTCTCATTCTTCCACTTGCCAAACAGCAAACAGCTTTGCTTCCGCATCCTGCTCTGCTGCCGCACTCACACACAATCACCCAGAAGTAAGCTGTGGCAGGTATGTTTCTGCTTTCATTGACAAAGAATGTTCTGCTGACCTTGCAAAACTGAACCTGTGTTCTCAACACAAGAGCAACACCAAGGCTGCCTGGTCTTTGCAGGCTGCCAGGGCCTAGCTTGCTCTGCAGCCTCTCTCAATGCTCCCATCACACTGCAGACAGCTGCTGAGCGCCTGCTGCATGCCAGGCCCCATGCAAGAAAAGCAAGACAAGAGACCTGCCTTCAGGGAGCTCGAAGCCTCCAGACAAGACAGAGGGGACATGGAATTTCCCAATAATGGTGTATGTGTTGGCAAAACTACACACCTGCATAACTCACCACCATGTTATTTTAACTATTTTCTCCCTTCTCCCTTCCTGCACCTGCCAAAGGTGAGGGTGTCTGGCATACACACTGTGTCCACAGTTATCTTTGGATCCCCTGTGCCAAACATGGTACCCACACAATCCAAATTTCACAAACACCTCCTGGATAGTAACACAACAGTATTATAAGAAACAATTCCATGTAAGTGTTAACGCTTCAGGGCAGTGATCAATGTACATATCAACTATCACCCTGGACCTATGCAATGTATTATAATCCTAGAATGTCAGCACCAAAACAAACATCTCCAGCCTCAGACAGCCTCTGATCTTTCTTGGTCCTCGTCATGCAGTCCTGACTTTAGTTCCATAAAGAGGGGAAGATGATGAAAGCTGAGCCAGTCTACTTCTTTTCCTGGAAGTCAATGCACCCTCACTTGTTTTACTGGGAAGACTGAAAACTTTTATCCAGTAATTAGAATTTTGACTCATGTTTAATACGCTGGTAATTTCATGAACTTGCATAGAAATATAGTAATTGTCATTTTGACACAGGCTTGCCAATATGCATTTACTTAAAGACTTCTTACATGTCAAATCTTGGACTTTTTGGTTTGAAAAATAAGAACATCCTCAGTATTCTCCTGGCTTACCCTCACCCCACCCTGGCTGTACCCAGAAACAAATGATAGGAAGAACTGTAAATATAGCATGAAACACTTTTGCAAATAATCAACCCAAAGCCCAAGGGACAAGCTGTTTCTATTTTTAACTGATCTGTTGCTTTAAGGAAAAACTCTGTAGAGAAATAGGAAACCAAACTGCATAATGGAAATCAAAATGCATTTGGGGACCTTAATCAACAAGTAGCAGTGCTGTGTAGAGATCCCTGTAAACTGAATGACCTGCCGGTACACTGAGTGAACCCCACAAAAAGGGTCCATCCACCACTTGAAGAATCAGATCTGCCAGGACAGAATAAGAGAACACGCATACTTCAACACTGTTCTTAAAACTACCCAGTAAGCAAGGCAATGGATGAATACCAAAATCACCCTGTAAGTCTTGTCTTTACATATTCTGAGTAGTAATTAATGTGACAAACTACAAATAAATGATCAACTAATTATACTTAGCATTTGGAATCAACTGTCTACAGCTATACATTCCATCCAAATTCCACAAAATCTATTCCTCTACACAAATGACCACATTTAATTTCATTAAGTAGTAACTGACAATGGCACTCCTGAGGGTTAAGAGTGACAAGGAGCAGGTGCCAAACCAGCAGGGAAAACAGAAGCAGCAGCCACATAAAAGGAATTAAAATCATCTACCTGTTTCCCAGAGTGGTTTGAAGAATCCCACCCAATGGAACTTTCTTCTGAAACAATGTAACTATATCCAGTCTAGGGGAGAGGGGAACAAACTTTGGTAGTGTGGACATCAAATTTAATTGGTAAATATTGTAACTTAATCAATGAGTTTGCTACCAACATGAAATTGTATTGCTTTAAACATAACCAATGTCCAAGGATACACAATTACTAAAATGTATTGAATGCAACATTTTAAGTATAATTAAGCTATTTAATATCACCATAAGAATCTGTTAGAAGTAGCAGAATGTTTGCAAATGGGATTAAAACTTGCTAGACCCAATACAAAAAACAAAGAATTTCCAATATTACCTCCTCATTATTTTCTTCCTCCAACTTAGCACAATTGCGACAGAAGGCATGATTACAGAACAGAGGCACTTGCAATCTTTAGCAATAAAATAACAAACCCTACTTCATAGTCTCTAGTGAAAAAAAAAATTCTCTGAACAGCAAAATTCACTAAGTGTAACTCATCAATCAACAGGTGACTTTCAGAAACAAACTCATTCGAGAAAGAATTTTGTAAAATCTCATGCTTTTTCTTTCATATTTTTTACAAGCTACTGCCTTGCTGCACTGAATGAATCCCAACCCATTCCTTCTCACGGTCGCACCAGAAAAATGCCAAATATTCAAATCATTTTAGGGCATTTTCCCATACAGTTGCATGCAACAGAGCAGAATTTATAAAGATCCAACAGTTACCACTTTTCAAATGCAAATATGTTGCCATCTAGTAAATACAACTCCCTTTTAAACATCCCCAGTGTCTATACAGTTCAGGTCACTACTTTTGTTTCCCTGAAAATCAGAATCTGCGCGTTACATTCAGGCATTATCTTCACCCGGCACCACCACGAACAACAACAACAAAAAAACAGATCTGGTAATGGCCCAGCCTGAGCTCGCATCACCCAAGAACGCTTGGCTTTCTTTTTCCACCTATTTTCCACGCAACGTCCCTACACAACTCTGCTAAAGGAAGCAAACCTATGCGGTAGTGCACTGGTTCCTAGGTACAATAGGCTTGGGCTGGTCATTGCCGGCTCCGGGCCTCAGTTTCCCTGACTGTAAAATGCAGGTCTCCAGGTCCCATCCGGCCCCCGCACTCTCTGACAAGCGCTGGCTGCGGCCTGGGGGCCTGGCCTGACACCGCTGCAGATGGGAGGGGACCGGGAAAGGGGGTGGGGTGCACAGAGGAAAGAGAAGAACTTGGACTTGCAGCCGCGTCAAAGAGGAGCGTGAGACAAACTTGAAGCCGTCCCCCTAACAATAGGGAAAGAGCACTCCCGTTTTCCCGGCTCAAAGTTGCGGGACCCGGAGAGCCTGGGTCCCCCTCCCGCCCGCTCCGTGCGCGCTGTACCTTTCTCCCTGTTTGGTGTTGGCAGGAGGAGGGTGCAGGACTGTCTGATTCCCTTCCATCTCCACCACGCACTTGGTGTTCAGCTCCAGTTCTGAAAGCACAGGGGAAACCGACGCTGCAAACTCGAGCATCCGCGCCCAGCCCGCCGCGCCGCGCCGCGCGGGGGCTCCGTCCTGGAGGCGGCGGGGCCGGGAGACGGCGCCCGGGCTCCCCGGCTCCGCGGCCAGGGCGGGCGGGCGACCGCCGCCTCCGCCCGGAACCCCGGCTCCCCGGCTCCGCCGGCCCGAGCAGTTCCCAAAGTTGCCCCGGCCCCCAGCCCGAGCAGAAATCACAACCAGCAGAAAGCTCCTTACCTCGTCGGTTCATGGGCCGGACGCGGACGGCAACTTTTACCTTGGTATCCGACATGTTGGCGTCGCCCGCTCGGCCCTGGCGGCCCTCACGCGCCGCGCCGCCGCCGCCGCCGGATACGCGTGAAACAGGAGAGCGAATACCGTGGCTTGCCTGAGAGATTCCCGGGCAGCGCCGAGGCGCGCGGGCCATCCCGGGGGAGCGCGACGCGGGGCTCGGCCGCGGCCCGGGGAGGGGCGGGCGCGCGGGGCGGGGCGCGGCGGCGGCGGCGGCGGCGGCAGCGGCGGCGGGCGGGGAGGAGGCCGCGCCGCCGGCCCAGACGCCGCTCTAGCCTCGCCGGCCCAGCCCGGCTCACAGCGCCTCAGCCGCTCGCGGCCGCCGCGCCGCCATCTTCGCGCCCCGCGGTGCTAGGGGGGCGGGTGGGGACCGCAGGCGGGCGGGGCGCGGGCTTCAGGCGCCGCCGGGTGCCGAGCGCTGGACGTGCGGTTTCCGCGGTGCGGGCGCCTGCGGGGACCCTGCGGACACCTTCGGCGGGCCACGGGCACCGCGCGCCAGAGCCCGAAGGCGCCGTGAGGGGCCGGGCACGGGCGGCCAGGCCTCCCTCGGCGGGAACGACGCCCTGGCCGCCGCTCCGGAGCGGGCTGCGGTGTTTCAGGAGCTTTGTGGCGAACCGAGACCGAGGGGGAGTGTGTGTCAGCCGCGCCCTCGCCCGTGTGCGGACGCTCCTGACCGGGCAGAGAGGGCCAGAGGGTCGGGAGGCTCCTTAACGCTTACATAAGAATGAGTGGTGGCGGAGCCTGTCCGGCTAGCCAAATGCAGACCTCGCCGCCGGGCCGGAGCTGGGACAACCGCAGGGGCTCGGTTTGGCTCAACAAGTGCTTCTGGGGCGCGCACGGTGTGCCGGGCATTTTAGAAGTCTCAAGTCCAGAGCTTGGCGATTCTCCCATCTTGCTGGAGTGTGGAAATCTATGCGTTCATGAGTTCCTTTACTGCGAATTGTATTGCGGGCCTACTGTGAGTAGGGTGCTGTGCGGAGGGCGCACTAGCTGGATGCGTAATGCGCCGCGGGGGGCACACGCTGAGGTGGGCAAATGGCTTGGGGAGGCCAGCTAGCATGACTCTGGGTCACGGGAGGGGTGCGCCTGAGAGAGAGCCGGTATGGCTCCAGCAGGTGCCAAGCTGTGGCCTGATTCTAAAAGGGACAGCCAACTGGCCACCGTCAGAGGTCCTAAGGTGTCCTTCCTCTTCTCCATTGCCACCTGCGAGCTTTCCTTGTCCATGCAGCTACTCTACACGTATTCTGAGCTCCCTGCAGTGTCGCAGGCACTGTGCTGCGTGCTTGGCTGCAGGATCTCGGCCATTTCTGAACGGAAGGAGTCAACGGTCCGGTTCTGTGCCAGCCTCCTAGCCTTTGGGCTGCTGAGACAACGCCTTTCACTGACCTTGCAACCTGCCCTCGTAGAGGCTCTCCTACATCCAGCTTGCAGACTGATTTCTCGGGAAAGTACCTGTTATCTTTTGATCATGGCCTTCCCTTTCTAATATTGCCTCCCACTGCACCCAAAAGTTCATTTCATCCAAGACCTTTTCACAAGCAAGATGACATCACCATGCTAAGCTGTAGTTCTGGCAGCTTCCACCAATAGGAAATGTAGAAGGTTGAATTGTGTCCCTGAAAACATACCTTCAGGTCCTAATCTCCAGTAGCTCTGAAGGTGACCTTATTTGGAAATAGGGTCTTTATAGAGCTTTGATGAGGTCCTACTTAGTTAAGGTGGATCCTAAATCCAATAACTGATATTAAGAGAAAGGAGGGGGCTAGCATTGTGGGTCAGTGGATTAAGCTGCCGCCTGCTTCACCAGCATCCCGAATGAGCACTGCTTGGAGTCCCGGCTGCTCTACTTCCAATCCAGCTCCCTGCTGATGTGCTCAGGAAATGCAGTGGAAGATGGCTGAACTACCTGGGCCCCGTCACCCATGTGGGAGACCTGGATGGAGTTCCAGGCTTCAGGCTTTTCAGCCTGACCCAGCCCTGGCTCTTGCAGCCATTTGGGCAGTAAACCAACAGGTAGTATATACCCCATAACTCTGCCTTTCAAATAAATAAAATTTTTTTAAAGATTAGAAAGGACAGGCAGATTTGAACATATCCCACAAGAAAGGAGGCAGATGTTGCAGTGACGCAGCTGCATGCCAAGGGCTGCCCAGAGCCATCTGCACCTAGGAGGCGGCGAGGAAGACTCCTTCCAGAGGCTTCAGAGGGAGCATGGCCCTGCTAACACCTTGATTTTGGACTTCCAGCCTCCAGAACTGGGAGATAATAAATCACTATTATTTCACAAGTTACTGCTCAGTTTGTGGTAACTTATGGCACTCTTTTTTAAAAATTTATTTATTTAATTGAAATGCAGAGTTAGAATGAAACAGAAAAAGATCATCTGTCCATCCCCAAATGACCACAATGACCGGAGCTGGGCTGATACTAAGTCAGGGACCAGGAGCTTTTTACGGGTCTCTCATATGGGAGCAGGAGCCCAGGGACTTGTGCCGTCTTCCACTGCTTTCCTGGGTTCATTAGCAGGGAGCTGGATTGGAAATGGAGCAGCCAGGACTTGAACAGGTGCTCACATGGAATACTTGCATTGCAAGCAGCAGCTTTACCCACTACGCTACAGTGCCAGCTCCTTATGGCATTCTTAGGTACTAATACAAGACTCTCAGTCTCTGTATTTGTCTATCTCCTTTTCTTCCCCTTCCTCCTCTGCCAGATCATGAAAGACATGAACGTGTAAGAAAATTCCCCTTTACCCTACAGACAGAGGGAACTGAATGAATGTTTGGGTTTTGGAGCCAGCTACTAACACATTCAGAGCATTCTTGGAGGGTAATTAATCTGGCAACATTCTATCCACCCAGAGAACTGTTGCATTCATCCATGTGAGAGGGAAGGGCGGTGGGAACAAAGCCAAAGGTGATGCAAAGGAGCAGGAGGCACAGGTGCAGCACTCGCTGTGGAGTGCTTTGTCCACCAATGGGCTCTGAGGATTGAGGGAGGCAGGGGATCAGGAGTATTTGGAAGGGTGCTGGCCCACAACCCACAGCAGATCAGGCCTTGAGGTGAAAGGGCTGCTGGGTAAAGGCACAGTTTCCTTTGGCACTTCCTTTCCCACTCTTCCAACTTTAAAGGCCTGGCAAGACTCCACAGGGTATGTCTTCTTCCATGCAGTTTCACTCATTTTAGAGCTGGGCGGAGCCTTTTGGGGTTTTCTGGACTCTTCTAAGATAGCCCGCAAATTGTCTGTCCATCCTCTGCTAGGGTATGTCCGGGGACAGAGTACTCAGATTTGAACAGGTGCCAAATTCACTGCTGGACAACTCATTCCAAAGTTCTACACTCACAGAAGGCCTCCACGAAGAACCGAATCTGCAGCCTCTAAATTCTTCCTGGGAGTAAAGTGTTGGCCCCTAGAGCTCTATACTCCGAATCCAGCTCCCCTTCCTGAGAAAACTTCACATGCTTGCTGCAGGCAGCTGTTACATCCTTGGGGAGGCTTCTGTTCCTCTGAATAAGCTGTTCCAGTAACTGCTCTATAATAAATCCCTCCAAAACTTAGAGCTGAAAACAACCACCATCCTGTTGTCTCTCATGGCCTCTGTGGGCCAGGGATAGGGGAGGGACCCCTCCACCCAGGACGGTGCTGGCCCAGTGGGGAGATTGCAATTAGATGGCGGCAGAAGCTGAACAGTGGGGTCAGAGCAGCATCTCTCTAAGTCATCTCACAGTTTCTCTGCTTGGATAGGCTTTGGCTTTTTCCAGCATGGTGGCTGGGTCCCAAGAGTCAGTGTTTTAAGAGCACCAGTGGAAGCTCTGTCATCTTTGATGTCCTAACATACAGTGTCCCATAGTGGCTGTTCTGCCAAGGTCACAAGCCTCCCAGATCCAAGGGGGAAACCACAGCCCCCTTATCTCAATGGAGGAAGTGTCAGTGTTATGTAAAGGTACATCCCAAAGTTTGTGGAAAGTTATATTGGAAATCTATTTTGGTGTACAAAAATTTTGAAATCCATGCATGGGGTGCGCACTGTGATGCAGCAGGTTAAGCTACTGCATGGGATGCAGTCCCACCTCCATTTAGATCTAGCTTCCTGAAAATATATCTGGAAGGCAGCAGATAATGGCTCAAGTACTTAGACCTCTGCCGCCTATATGGGAGACCTGGATGGAGTTCCAGGTCCCTGGCTTCAGCCTGGCCTCACCTACTGTGGGCATTTGGAAAGTAAACCCACAAATGGAAGATCTCTCTTTCTGTCTCTCCTCTTCTCTCTGTCACTTTGCTTTTCAAATAAATTTTTAAAACTTTTAAAATTCCATGCACAGCTTTTTCATGATGCACATTTCTACAAACTTTCTCCTTCACATCCATGTATTTCAAAATTTTTGTGCACTAGAATAAACATCTTTAATTCCATTTTCCCACTGATTTTGTGAAGTCCCCTTGAATTTAAAAAAAAAAAAACATGTGGGGGTGGGTGATGTGTGTGTTGCACCCTGTTTTGGAAGACAGTCTGCCACCTAATGTGTTTTTTCCTCTGTCTTGGATTCCCTCTCTTGACAGCATGTGACAACAAAGTAAAGCTTGGGAATTAGATCTGCTGTGTTTGAATCTTGCCTCTCTCTACATATAGCCTGAAACACGTTATTTAACCCTCTTAATCATTTGGGTTATGAGTAACTAGTGGGAATTCTGAACTCCCACCATGCATGATATAGAAGATAACTTTTCAAATATATGCCTCTCACACAACATCCCACTTTTTCTGAGAACTGCTGTTCCTTCCTCCTCCAAACCCCAACCCTGGCTCCTCATCCAGTCATGTTCATACCATATGAACCCTCCTGCCTGGTACAGTTATTCCTACCACAAACCTCAGAGTCTATCAGATTCTTCCCATCAGATATCTGGACTCTGGAATCAGAGGTTGGTGATTGAGGGTGTGGTCCTTGCCATCAGACTCTTTGGGTTGAATCCTGAACTTTCTGAGTAAGAAAATCATACAGATTCTCAGCTTTGAGGACTCCATTTCCTTGTTGATAAAATAGAATGAGGTGATGATGATA